AAGCATTTGGATGTTTGACTATATAGCTTTGTGTGTGTGTGTAAGTCAGGTATGGATAGCTTTCGGTAGCATAGGGAAGGGTGAACATCCCCTGCGGTATTTCCTTTGCTGTCTGTTTCCCCTCTTCAGAAGATTTTGCTTCCCTTTCTGTCCCTGTGAGAACTGTATTCTGGAAAATGTGGCTTGCTGTGGGAACAAGGATTGGGGATAAAGCTTCAGTGGAGACCCCGTTTCCCCATGATAATAATCACTCTCCCAGGAGTGGATTTCCTTCTTTCCAAGGCCCCTTCCACACAGATGTATAAACTCCACACTGAACTGGATTATCTGAAAGTGTGAACTCGGATAACCCTGTTCAAGGCAGATATTGTGGATTTTCTGCCTTGATATTCTGGGTTATATGGCTGTGCAGAAGGGCCCCGAGAGGGAGATTTCTCTCTCTTCTTGTGGTCTAAACCGAGTTCTTAACTAGGAGTTGTTTGTAAGTCGGACGTTTGAAACTTAGGGACTGATGGTATATATATGTGTGTGTGTATGAGACAGAGATAGTACCCTAGATTTGGAAGGGACCCCCAAAAGCCATCCAGTCCAGCCCTGTTCTTAACTAGGAGTCATTTGTAAGTCGGATGTTTGTAACTCGGAGACTGCATGTATGTTTGTATGTATACACACACATGCACACTCACACCCACACACACCCACACACACCCATATATATCTGTGTGTGTATATATATATAACAAAAAGATCTGGGAGGGACCCCCAAAGGCCATCCAGTCAAGCCCTGTTCTTAACTAGGAGTCATTTTTCAGTCAGATGTTTGTAACTCAGGGACTGCCTGTATGTTTGTATGTATACACACACATGCACACTCACACCCACACACACCCATATATATCTGTGTGTGTATATATATATATAACAAAAAGATCTGGAAGGGAGCCCCAAAGGCCATCCAGTCCAGCCCTGTTCTTAACTAGGAGTCATTTGTAAGTCGGATGTTTGTAACTCAGGGACTGCTTGTATGTATACACACACATGCACACTCACACCCACACACCCACACACCCACATATATATGTGTGTGTGTATGTGTATGTATATAACAAAAAAGATCTGGATGGGAGTCCCAAAGGTCATCCAGTCCACCCCATTCTTAGGAATTGTTTGTAAGTCGGGTGTTTGTAATTTGGGGACTGCCTGTATGTACGCGTACACACATGTGTGTATGTTTGTGTGTGTGTGTGTATACAGCAGTCTCACTTATCCAACCTTAGCTCATCCAACCTTCTGTATTTTCCAACGCAATCTGTCTCCCCAGATCCACAGCTGTTTCAATACATGGTGATGTTTTGGTGCTAAATTCGTAAATACAATAATTACTCCATCCTGTTATTGTGTATTGAACTGCTTTTTCTGTCCATTTGTTGTAAAACAGGATGTTTTGGTGCTCAATTTGCAAAATCATACCATAATTTGACATTTCATAGGGTTTTCCTTCATCTCTCCTTATTATCCAACATTTTCGCTGATTCAACATTTAGGGTGGATAAGCAAGACTTTACTGTATATATATATATGAGACAGAGGTAAGTGTCCTAGATCTGGAATGGACCCTCAAAGGCCACCCAGTCCAGCCCCGTTCTGAACTAGGAGTGCCGCAGGGTTTCGTCCTGGGCCCGGTCCTGTTCAACATCTTTATTAATGACTTACATGATGGCTTAGAAGGCATGATCATCAAGTTTGCAAATGGCACCAAATTGGGAGGGGTAGCCAATACGCCAGGAGACAAAAGCAGAATTCAAAACAATCTGAACAGATTAAAGAGATGGACCAAAACCAACAAAATGAAGTTCAACAGCGACAAATGCAAGATACTCCACTTAGGCAGAAAAAACAAAATGCAAAGATACAGAATGGGGGACGCGTGGCTCGAGAGCAGTACGTGTGAAAAAGATCTTGGAGTCCTCATGGACAAGCCAACAATGTGATGCAGCAGCAAAAAAAGCCAATAGGATTTTGGCCTGCATCAATAGGAGCATAGTGTCTAGATCTAGGGAAGTCATGCCTTGGTTGGAATATTGTGTCCAATTCTGGGCACCACAATTCAAGAGCGACTCAAATGATCAAGGGTTTGGAGAACAAGCCCTATGAGGAGCGGCTTAAAGAGCTGGACATGTTTAGCCTGAAGAAGAGAAGGCTGAGAGGAGACATGATAGCCATGTATAAATACGTGAGAAGAAGTCATAGGGAAGAGGGAGCAAGCTTGTTTTCTGCTGCCCTGGAGACTAGGATGTGGAACAATGGCTTCAAACTACAAGAAAGGAGAACATTAGGAAGAACTGGGTTGTTGTAGGTTTTTTTGGGCTACATGGCCATGTTCTAGAGGCATTCTCTCCTGACATTTCGCCTGCATCTATGGCAAGCATCCTCAGAGGTAGTGAGGTTAACAATACATTAGGGAGAACTTCCTGACTGTGAGAGCCATTCAGCAGTGGAACTCTCTGCCCCGGAGTGTGGTAGAGGCTCCTTCTTTGGCAGCTTTTAAACAGAGGCTGGATGGCCATCTGTTGGGGGTGCTTTGAATGCAATTTTCCTGCTTCTTGGCAGAATGGGGTTGGACTGGATGGCCCATGAGGTCTCTTCCAACTCTATTATCCTATGAAATATGTGAGAGGAAGCCATAAGCAAGAGGGAACAAGCTTCTTTTCTGCTTCCCTGGAGACTAGGACGTGGAACAATGGCTTCAAACTACAAGAAAGGAGAACTAGTCCAACGCTCGGCAGCCAGACTACTAACGGGTGCTCGGTACAGGGAGCACACCACTCCGCTGTTACACCAGCTCCACTGGCTGCCAATTAGCTTCCGAGCACAATTCAAAGTGCTGGTGTTAACCTATAAAGCCCTAAACGACTCCGGCCCTGTTTACCTCTCCGAACGTATTCTGCCCTATGAACCATCAAGATTATTAAGATCATCTGGAGAGGCCCTGCTCTTGGTCCCACCGGCCTCACAAGCGTGTCTGGTGGGGACGAGCAACAGGGCCTTCTCGGTGGTGGCCCCGCGACTCTGGAACTCTCTCCCACTGGAGATCAGAACCACCCCTTCTATCCTGACATTCAGGAAACAGGTGAAGACTTGGTTATGGAGACAGGCATTCGATGAGTGAGCTAACACCCTGAGATATGGATGGAAGATGATGTGCAATCGATTTTAGTATGACGACTGACCATTGTAGTTATTGAATATATTTGCTGTTTTAATGTGTTATTGTAATATGAATTATGTTATTTGACTGACTGTATGTGATTTTATGGTTGGAAACCGGTCTGTGTCCCTCAAAAGAGGTGAGAAGGTCGGTATACAAAAGTTTTAAATAAATATAATACATAAATAAACATGAGGAAGAACTTCCTGACTGTGAGAGCCGTTCAGCAGTGGAACTCTCTGCCCCGGAGTGTGGTGGAGGCTCCTTCTTTGGAAGCTTTTAAACAGAGGCTGGATGGCCATCTGTCGGGGGTGCTTTGAATGCAATTTTCCTGCTTCTTGGCAGAATGGGGTTGGACTGGATGGCCAATGAGGTCTCTTCCAACTCTATTATCCTATGAAATATGTGAGACGAAGTCATAAGCAAGAGGGAGCAAGCTTGTTTTCTGATTAGGAAGAACTTCCTGACTGTGAGAGCCGTTCAGCAGTGGAACTCTCTGCGCAGGAGTGTGGTGGGGGCTCCTTCTTTGGAAGCTTTTAAACAGAGGCTGGATGGCCATCTGTCAGGGGTGCTCTGAATGCAATGTTCCTGCTTCTTGGCAGAATGGGGTTGGACTGGATGGCCAATGAGATCTCTTCCAACTCTATGATCCTATAGATGACAAACTGGAATGTGTCCAGAGCAGGGCGACTCAAACGATCAAGGGTTTGGAGAACAAGCCCTATGAGGAGCTGCTTAAAGAGCTGGGCATGTTTAGCCTGGAGAAGAGAAGGCAGAGAGGAGACATGATAGCCATGTATAAATACGTGAGAAGAAGTCATAAGGAAGAGGGAGCAAGTTTGTTTTCTGCTTCCCTGGAGACTAGGACGTGGAACAATGGCATCAAACTACAAGAAAGGAGAACATGAGGAAGAACTGACTGTGAGAGCTGTTCAGCAGTGGAACTCTCTGCCCAGGAGTGTGGTGGAGGCTCCTTCTTTGGAAGCTTTTAAACAGAGGCTGGATGGCCATCTGTCAGGGGTGATTTGAATGCAATATTCCTGCTTCTTGGCAGAATGGGGTTGGATTGGATGGCCAGTGAGGTCTCTTCCAATTCTACTATCCTATGAAATATGTGAGAGGAAGTCATAAGGAAGAGGAAGCAAGTTTGTTTTCTGCTTCCCTGGAGACTAGGACGTGGAACAATGGCTTCAAACTACAAGAAAGGAGAACATTAGGAAGAACTTCCTGACTGTGAAAGCCGTTCAGCAGTGGAACTCTCTGCCGCGGAGTGTGGTAGAGGCTCCTTCTTTGGAAGCTTTTAAACAGAGGCTGGATGGCCATCTGTCAGGGGTGCTTTGAATGCAATGTTCCTGCTTCTTGGCAGAATGGGTTGGACTGGATGGCCCATGAGATCTCTTCCAACTCTATGATCCTATGAAATACGTGAGAGAAAGTCATAAGCAAGAGGGAACAAGCTTGTTTTCTGATTAGGAAGAACTTCCTGACTGTGAGAGCCGTTCAGCAGTGGAACTCTCTGCCGCGGAGTGTGGTGGGGGCTCCTTCTTTGGCAGCTTTTAAACAGAGGCTGGATGGCCATCTGTCGGGGGTGCTTTGGAATGCACTTTTGCTGCTTCTTGGCAGAATGGGGTTGGACTGGATGACCCATGAGGTCTCTCCCAACTCTCGGATTCTAGGATTCCTTTGCAAGTCAGGTGCCTGCAACTCAGGGACTTCTTGTGTGTGTGTGTGTGTCTATGTTTGTGAGCGAGGGCGCGTGCGTGAGATGTGGCGGGGTCCCGCCAAGGCATACCTGGTCGAGGGCGGCGGCGCCGGTGCGGCACTTGGTCATCTTGGCCGGGAAGCCGGAGCCTGGGTCCTCCTCCGCCGCCAGCGCCACGAACTCGGCCAGGCTGAGCTGCTCGGGCATCGCGGACGGAGGAGGGAAGAGAGAGGGGCCCTTCCTGCTTGCCTGCCTGCCTGCCTTCCTTCCTTTCCGCTTCACATCCCCGCTCGCTCCCCGCCTCCTCCCGCCTCTCTCTCTCTCTCTCTCCTGCTTTCCTTCCTTCCTTCTTACTTTCTTTCTGTCTCTTTCTCTCCCTTCTTCTTCTGGGCTTCACTGCTTGCAAGGCAGTCACGTGGGGAGGAGGAGGAGGAGGAGGAGGAGGCAGACCTCTCTGGCCCAGAGCCCAGCCAAGCCCGGGGTGGACCCTCCTCCTCCTCCGCCTCCTCCTCCTATCACTAGTATTAGTATTTATTTTCTACTAGCCGTCCCCTGCCAGGCGTTGCTGTTGCTGTGGCCCAATCTGGTGATCTGGAAAATAAAGTAATGACAAATGTTGGTTTCTAATATATGTAATGTCTTTATGCTTGTGGGTAAACACTATTTCTTGTTGTTTCTTTGTCAGTGTTGATGTGGAGATTGCTTGGTTTGCCTACTCTGGAACATGCGACATATAATTGCCCCTTCTTCAGGGGTCCCTTTCAAATCTAAGATACTATATCTCTGTGTTTGTGAATCATATCTATCTATACGTATGGCTGGATGCAGAGGCGGCCCTAGGTAATTTTCAAAGGTAAGCAAATGGCATCCTTGAAGTGACTGGACTGACCTTGAAGGAGCTGGGGGTGGTGACGGCCGACAGGGAGCTCTGCCGTGGGCTGGTCCATGAGGTCACAAAGAGTCGGAGACGACTGAACGAATGAACAAGCAAACAGTATTTTGCCCCCCCCCCACCAATCATTGATATATATTTTCTGTTCGTCGTGGGAGTTCTCTGTGCCATATTTGGTTCAATTCCATCATTGGTGGAGTTCAGAATGCTCTTTGATTGTAGGTGAACTATACATCCCAGTAACTACACTTGCTGCACTTGCTCCCTTGCCTGGCCCACTTTGGGTCCAGAAGCATGCCTGAAGACCCCGGCGTGCGCACCAAAAGTCACCTCTTCTCCTGACTTTCTCCTCAGCCATTGGGACCAAGAGAGAGAGAGAGAGAGAGAGCCCCTCCAGCTGGAGGTATCTCCCACCTCCGCTCCCTCCTTTGTTTTTGGTGCCTACCTTCAGGAAAGGTGGGCATCTCCACCTCTCTCTCTCTCTCTCTCTCTCTCGGTCCCAATGGTTGAGGAGAAAGTCAGGAGAAGAGGTGACTTTTGGTCTTCAGCCGCCGCGTCTGGCTCGCTTTGGGTCCGGAGGCGTGTCTGAAGAACCCAGCGTGCGCACCAAAAGTCGCCTCTTCTCCTGACTTTCTCTTCAGCCATTGGGACAGAGAGAGAGAGAGAGAGAGCCCCTCCGGCTGGAGGTATCTCCCACCTCCGCTCCCTCCTTTGTTTTTGCGTCTACCTTCAGGAAAGGTGGGCATCTCCACCTCTGTCTCTCTCTCTTTCTCTCTCTCTCTTGGTCCCAATGGCTGAGGAGACCCCTGAAGAAGGGCAATTATATGTTGCATGTTCCAGAGTAGGCAAACTTTGGGTCCCGAGGCGTGCCTGAAGACCCCGGCGTGTGCACCAAAAGTCACCTCTTCTCCTGACTTTCTCCTCAGCCATTGGGACCAAGAGAGAGAGAGAGAGACAGAGGTGGAGATGCCCACCTTTCCTGAAGGTAGGCGCAAAAACAAAGGAGGGAGCGGAGGTGGGAGATACCTCCAGCCGGAGGGGCTCTCTCTCTCTCTCTCTCTCTCTTGGTCCCAATGGCTGAAAAGAAAGTCAGGAGAAGAGGCGACTTTTGGTGCGCACGCTGGGGTCTTCAGACACGCCTCCGGACCTGAAGCGGGGCAGCAGCAGCTCCGCCCCTTGGCCCACCCGCGGATAGGGGAGAGGAGAGGAGGCGGGTGGAGCGCCGGGGGATCGGGAAAGGGAGCCGGTCATGGGGAAGGGATCGAACGTGGAGAACGATTGAGCGCCGGCTCTGCTACCGCACCCAGTGGCCGGGTGGAGCTGGAACGAGAGGGGCTGGGCGAGCTCAAGGGCCCGGCCCCTTTGGGAAGAGGATCGCCCGGCAGCGAGGCAAGAAAGCCGAGGCTCCCCCCGGACTGCTAGGGCTGTTGTGAGCTGAGGGGGCACTCCTCAAGTGGCGGTCGAGGGGCATTTACAGAGGCGCCTCTGCGCCCCTGGCAAAAAAAAGTGTTCTGCGACCGCTTACTTCGCGTAATGGATGAGCCGCCCCTGGGCAAAGGCTTCTCCTTTCATTTCTGGCTCTTCTTGCCCTGGTGAAGGGAGTTGGACTGGATGGCCTTATGTATTTTCTGTTGGTCATGGGGGTTCTGTGTGGGAAGTTTGCCCCAATTCTGTCGTTGGTGGGGTTCAGAATGCTCTTTGATTGTAGGTGAACTATAAATCCCAGTAACTACAACTCCCAAATGTCAAAGTCTATTTCCCCCAAACACCATCTGTGTTCATATTTGGGCATATGCAATATTCGTGTAGAGTTTGGTCCAGATACATCAATGTTTGAGTCCACAGTACTCTCTGGATGTAAGTGAATTACAACTCCCAAACTCAAGGTGAATTAAGGTATATACTGTTCCCTGAAGGGGGGCGGGTGGGGGGAGGAGGGGTGTACAATCGTAAGACACAAGGGTAGGGTGAAGGGGAGACAGATAAGAGCATTAGGAAATTATAATGTGATGTGTGATATGTGATATGTTTTCAGAATGTAATTTAGCAACTGAATTTCTAACAATGAGTGGGTGTGATGGTATTACATTTGTGTCGGAAAAATCTAAAAAAAAAAGAGAGATTTCAAGACGGGCTCAAAGCCAACCTTAAAATCTCTGGCAGAGACATTGAGAACTGGGAAGCCCCGGCACTTGAGCGCTCCAGCTGGAGGTCGGCTGTGACCAGCAGTGCTGCAGAATTTGAAGAGGCACAAAAGAAGGGTGAAAGAGAGAAACGTGCCAAGAGGAAGGTGCGTCAAGCCAACCCCAACCGGAGCCACCTCCCACCTGGAAACCAATGCCCTCACTGTGGGAGAAAATGCAGGTCAAGAATCGGGCTCCATAGCTCGCTAGGGATCCACAAGAATACTGATCATGGAAGACTATCCTACTCATCCAACGAGGGATTGCCTAAGTAAGTAAGTATCTATATCAGGGGTCCTCAAACTAAGACCCGGGGGCCGGATATGGCCCTCCAAGCTCATTTACCCAGCCCTCACTCAGGGTCAACTTAAGTCTGAAACGACTTGAAAGCACATAACAACAACAATCCTACCTCATCAGCAGGCCCACACTTCCCATTGAAATACTAATCTATACATATAATAAAAGTCAAAGTTTGTATGCGACGTAGGACAGAGGTAGGTAGGATGTAGGGCGGACGTGTTTGTGGCAGCTTTCTGATTGGCTGCCACTGTGGTGCTATTTGCATATGGTCTCTGATTGGCCAACCTCAACAGGACCCCCTGGTGGCGAAGACGGTTAATGGGAGAAACGGAGACATGACAGAGGGAAATTTGCATATGGTCTCTGGCCAGCCTCAATTCCAAGATTCCAAGAGGACAAAGAGATGAAAGGAAAACTTGGCACACAGAGCCCCCATGACCCACTATACAGCCTACTGCAGTTTGGAGGAGGATGGACCATGGATGATGGGACTTCCAGTCCCATCACCCACTTTCTGAGACCGCTGTTGACCTCATCCAATGAGTGATCTAGACCAAACTTGGCACATAGACCTCTCATGATCCACTTTATGCCCTGGTGTGGTTTGTCTGGGGATGGACCATGGATTATGGGACTTGCAGTACCTTTGCTCAATTCCTGAGACCACTGCAACCCACATCCAATTACAGATAAAGACCAAACTTGGCACACTGAGTCTCCATGACCCACTCTACATCCTGGTGCAGTTTGGAGGAGGATGCACCATGGACGATGGGACTTGCAATACCTGCACTCCCTTCCTAAGACCATTACAACTGCCAACTGCCATGGATCAGGACCACAATTAACACAGAGAGCCCGCATGACCCACTCTACATCCTGGTGCGGTTTGGAAGAATTTGACAATGGATGATGGGACTTGCAGTCACTTCACTCACTTCCTGAGACCACTGAGACCCTCGCCAATGACTGATCAAGACCAAACTTGGCACACAGAGCCCCCATGACCCACTCTACATCCTGCTGCTGTTTGGAGGAGGGTGGACCATGGGTGATGGGACTTCAAGTACCTTCACTCACTTCCTGAAAACAATGCAGCCGTTATCCAATGACCAATAAAGACTAAAGTTGGCATAGAGAACAGCCATTACCCACTTTCTCTAATAACCCGGGCAGCGCCGGGTCCACAAGCTAGTAAGTTTATATTTGTTAATATTGTTCTTCATTTTAATTATTGTATTGTTATTCAGTGTTTTTTGCACTACAAATAAGATATGTGCAGGGTGCATAAGAATTCATTCCTTTTTTTTCAAATTATAATCCGGCTCTCCAACAATTTGAGGGACTGTGACCTGGCCCTCTGCTTAAAAAGTTTGAGGACCCCTGATCTGTATCTATGGCTGGATGGCTCTTTGTCAAAAGGGCTTTGATTATGTTTTCTTGCCCTGGTGAAGGGAGTTGGACTGGATGGCCTTGAGTATTTTCTGTTGGTCATGGGGGTTCTGTGTGGGAAGTTTTCCCTAATTCTGTCGTTGGTGGGATTCAGAATGCTCTTTGATTGTAGGTGAACTATAAATCCCAGTAACTACAACTCCCAAAAGTCAAGGTCTATTTCCCCCCAAACTCCATCTGTGTTCATATTTGGGCATATGGAATATTCGTGCCAAGTTTGGTCCAGATCCATCATTGTTTGAGTTCATGGTAGTCTCTGGATGTAGGTGAACTACAACTCCCAAACTCAAGGTCAATGCTCACCAAACCCTTCTAGTGTTTTCTGTTGGTCATGGGAGTCCTGTATGCTCCGGTTGGTTCAATTCTATCATGCTATTTGATTGTAGGTGAACTATAAATCTCAGCAACTACAACTCCCTGTCTATCTATCTATTTATTTATCTATCTATGGCTGGATGGCTCTTTGTCAGGAGGACTTTGATTATGTTTTCTTGCCCTGGTGAAGGGAGTTGGACTGGATGGCCTTAAGTATTTTCTATTGGTCATGGGGGTTCTGTGTGGAAAGTTTGCCCTGATTCTG